CTCACAATCTGCTGCAGCCTCCCGTCCTCTGAGTGCTCTCACTGAGCCCAGGCAGAGCTGGGATCCCTGGGTCTGCCCTGGCACAAAATTCCTGCAGGAACTGGAGGAGGAATCTGCCAGGTCTGAGCAGAGCCTCCCTCTGCATTGCACAGCAAGGTGCTCAAAGGTGACCTGAGAGGCTGCCTGAGGAGCTAAAACACCTCCCCATGAGGGCAGGATCTGTTCCTGTGTTTGGGACGTGTCCCTGTGTTTGGGATCTGTCCCCATGTTTGGGATTTGTCCCTGTGTTTGGGATGAGTCCCCATATTTGGGATCTGTCCCCATATTTGGGATCTGTCCCTGTGTTTGGGATCTGTCCCTGTGTTTGGGATGTGTCCCCATATTTGACATCTGTCCCCATATTTGGGATCTGTCCCTGTGTTTGACTCTGATGGCTGGGGATGCTGAGGGGTGGCTCAGTGTGTCCTGCAGACAGATCTCTCTGTCCAACTCCTGCAGAGGTGTCAGTGCCACCGAGGACAGGGAGACCCAGCTCTGGTTTTAGGCAAAAAAGGTCCTTTTTGCCCTTTTTGCCCCCCAGTCCACAGCAGGGCCTTCATGCGCATCTTATTTTTAAGAGCCCTCCCAAGGAGCTTTCCCAAAGAGAAGGCTGAGATGTCAGGAAGGAAAAGCCCTGATTTCAGGCTGCAGTTTGCAGTCTGAACTTGCTCTGAACTTCATAAATAGAGGACAGCTGACATGATATTCATTTACAGTAAGTTTATTTCTCAGTGCATTACATGAAAGGTCTTTGGTATTTGTGGGTCCTTGAATACTGTTCCCACTCTGCTCCGTAAGAAAATGCTGAATACAAAACATTCCATATACAGTAACAAACCCCATAGCAAATAAAGAGAAATAGATATTTTGAACAATAACATAGCAATATGAAAACAGATAAGTAACCATGCAAGAGGTGGAACAAACAGGTTGTGTTTACAACAAACATTAAAGCCTGCCATAAATGAGTTCATCCTGTCAGATAAGATTTATTCTTGCTCTAAGTTAAGAAATTACACGTGATTGCAAGATACTGCCTATGGCTGCCCTATAAAAGACCAAATGGTTGTAAAGCTGATCCCCAGGAGAGAAGCCAGGACCATTGGCACACATACAAAACACACTGATATAAATAAAAAAGGTACTGTGTAAAATAACTGGTGAAGAAGTTACCATTTCCTTCTGTGGCTGGGCATGTGCCTCGTGAACAATTATAGCACCTTTCAATGCCTTGGTTTCACAGGAAACCAAGAAATCACAGAGACTCTGAGTAGTTTAACCCCTACACCTCCAGTGGAATGTCATCTGGAGTCAGACAGAAGGTGTAAACCTGGAGGAGGGTGGGTTTGCAATCATTGCATCGGGAGGGAAGTCCAGGAGCTGATTGTCTCTGGAAGCCTTTGTCACAGTGCTCAGGGTCCCGGGTGACAACAGCTCATGGCAGACACTGGAGCAGAGCCCACACAGCACCGTGTGCTGCTCCAGGGCTGGGTCTGATTTTTAAGGCCTGTTCCTTTGAAAGTTGATGACAAAATGACTCTGGAGTTTGGTGGGAGCAGGTGAGGGCTCTTCTCTCTAGCTAATTCCTGTTTCCCTGGGTTGATAGCAATTCCTTACAGTAAGTGCAAATTAGACCCTCTGGAGAGGAGCATTCCCTGCCTCCCAGGAGTTGCAGGTTGCTGGTGAATGTGAGGGTGCATGACTTGCAAAGGGTTTTTGTTGTGCAATGTGCTGCTTCTGGTTAGCTCAGGGCAAGGAAAACACTACTACTACCAGAGCTGAGCCCAGTCAAAAACACGCTGGAGCTCAAACAAACATCAGGAATTTCAAAAAAGTCTTAGGGAAAAAAAAAAAAGAAAGAAGAAAAGAACACACTATGGTATTGCACAGTATGTATGTAAGATAAAGCACTAAAAATTTCAATTAAAATATATTTCTAAATGAGCACGCATTCCAAATAAATCCCCTAAATTACATAGACATGGCAAGAAGCATTATATGGCCTGGCTGAAATGAACCTCAGGATCTGCCCATGATGGAGAATGTGGTTGGAGTGATTTGCTTGCTCATCAATCTCATCAATGTCAGTGTGTGAGGCTGTGCTCACCTTTAAATGTCATTAAAGTGGGGTGGCACAACAGTGTGGTGCAGCCCTCGTGTGAGTGGAGAGGAGTGAAACCCCAGCAGAGAGACAAAGTCCATCTGGTATAATCCTGCTGTCCCCCATTTAAAGATACAGTTCCTCATCAGAGAGATGGAGCTAAACAAAGCAAAGAGAAAAAATTACATAGCTCATACTATCAATAATTCAAGTGGTCTCAACCCAAACCTGAACAGCCTTTTGACAATTGACTTGGCAGGATTAATTGCAAACAACTTCCATTAAATTTTCCTTTCATCTTGTCAGTAATTTGCTTTAAATAATATAAAATTCCAAATCCATGTCAGTATGAATGCCTCAGCAATGTGAGTGACTAAAGAATTACTTTGAATTCAGAAGACAAACTTGGAGAAAGAAAGATTTCTCTTCCAGTTCAGTGTGAAGCCTCTGAAATGCCAGGGAAGTAAAAATGGCCTCATTGTATTCCCTCTTCCCCAATTTCAACCCTGTAGCTACAGGACCAGTAAAACTGAATTTCCCCATTTCCCTTTTTAAAGATTGCTTTGGTTGGGTTTGGTTTCTGAAGCTGCCATGAGCACAGATTTTTCCTGTGGCCCCAACTACAGCTGGCACCAACCTGCCCAGTGCAGGAGTTTAGACTGAACTGAGATTTCTCCTCACTCCTCAGGCCTGATTTGCCAACACCAACTGGCTGATTTACCTCCTGGAAGCCACCAGTGAGGTTTTGGAGTGTCCATGTGATCCAGACCAAGATGATCCCAATTTACCACAGAGGTAACCAAGTATTCTCAATTCCTGCACAGGAACCAGCCTGCAAATGAGGAAACATCCTTTTTCTTGGACATTTAATTCTTAGATGGAATGATTATTCCAAGAATGTTGGAGTTCCATGCTTGGCTGGCCACAGACAGAGCTCTTGCCCTGCCAGTAGTGAAGGAGGAACTTGGGCTCTTAGAGCACCACAGACATCCTCAGAGTTAGTGCTGGGCTTAGAGTTAGTGCTGGGGGTGAAAGAGGCTTTATTTCTTTCTCCCCAAGGGATTGCAGATACAAGATGAACTCAGGAACCTGCTGGACTTGAGTTTGACTCATTTCCTTGTCTCTCTGCACTCCAGCTGTAACTCAAGAGTGCAGCCAGGGACCTCCCCAGGCTCCTGCAAAGCTCTGGGTTTGTTTCTTGGGAAATTCAATCATTCAGAAGCACAACCTGAGCCAGGTGGGCTGAATGAGCCCCACAGCTGGCACTGACCAAGCAGGGGGAGGATGCAAAAGCAGCATCCTCAGCTGGTTGTTGTTCAGCTGCACAGCAGTAAAAGAAGGTTCTGGTGCTTGCTCAGATCAGCTTTGCCATTTCACCTGCCTGGGCATGGCTGGGTTCCTGAGGAGCAGGGCCAAGTCAAGGCATGGGGGGTTCAGCCATCCTGGAGCAGCCTGTCACCTGCTCATTTGTGGAAATTCCAGGTCCTTCAGAGGAAGGATTGGGATTGTCTCTGCTGGTAGCACACTGCCATGTTTACAGTGTTTATGGGCAGTCAATTTAATGTGGGGCTAATGCTGGGCTGGCAGAGCTCCTCCATTTTTAGCCTCATTTCCAGGGGGCTTTGCCTTGGGAAGATCCCTTGGGGTGCTGGATCAGGGACTGCAGAGTGTTTTCTTTGGAAAGCCCCTGACAGAAACACTGCAGCAGTGCAGCCCAGCCTGCTCACACAGCTGTGCTCTGCACAGGAACCAGACACACAGGGGCCATAACACAACTCACTTTGCTCACTTTTGTCCTGGGCTGAATTTGAGAACTGTCAGAATGTGGGAATTAGAAACAAAAAACAGTCCAGTCAGTTTTGTTGATTAACCTCCCCCTTCTAACAGAAATCACTGTCTACATGGATGACATCAGCTTGTCTGACCTGGTTAGCACAGCAGGTGGAGTGATTCATTTGTCACTGAAGGGCAGGTTCAACTTCTTAAACCTGGAAGCTGGTACTTCCCCTAAAATAACCAGTTATTGCAAAAAGGAAAATGACTCTGTATGTAACTCCCAGTGCAAGATAAGCTCTTGACAAGACTCTAATTCCCTAGGCTGTGGTTTGCTCCTACACTGTCTCCAGATCTAAATGGTGAGGATTTACTCACAAGATTAAAACAAAACACTGTGAAAACATTTTTCCTGATTGCTGAAGGATTAAGAAACTATTGCAAAATATCCTTTTCTGTGAATAGCTACTGCCACCACTTAAATTAATTATCTCTGGATGTATGCACAAGCTGAACACAGTATGGGAAAATTCTTGCACAATTCCATCATATCTCATGCAAACTGCTCTATGTTTTCACAGAAATAGTCTAAACTCTCTGAAGATAGATAGAAAGCCAATGTTTCTAGGAACATTTGCATCAAAAGTCCTTGTTTAGCCAACCACAAATAGAAATAATGTCACTCACAGGCAATTAGCAACATGAAAAGCCAGGATTTTGTTGCTAAAATCCAGAGAGCCACCTGAATTTTCAGAGTAATACTTTTAAATGTAATTTGTATTCTAATTTGTTCTTTGCTTAAAAGAAATCCTTGCAGGTCATGCAGGAAATAAAAGCAGATGTCTCCAACTGCAGCAATGGACAAGGCTGAGGCTTGGCTTTGGCTCTGGGTGGGATGGATGGGCTTGGCCAGTTAAGCAGAGCTTTACTGAGTGACTGTCAAGGGCAGGGAGAGAACAAGGGCAGGGTTAAACCCTGGAGGCACAGCCAGGAGGTGCCACTCCTGTAGGCAGCTTCTGAGACACCTGACAACTGCTATTCCAAAGGCAAAACAACAAAATCAAGGAAAACATTCTCAAAACCCTCTCTGAGCTATGGATAAGTCATTCCCTGCAACCAGGGCTCAGAATTGGCCAGGGAAGGAAACCCAGCCACCAACACTGCAGCCTCCCACCCTCTTCATCTGCAGGGTGCAATTCAGCACTGGGTACTGGATCTTGAACTGCAGAACAGGCAGGGAGGACACAGAGATGCTCCTACTTCATCCTGTGGCTTCTCCTTCTGGCTTCAGCATCATCCAGCAGGGAGGAGAGGATCTGGTGGGCCTGGGGCTGCCGGGGTCCTCCTCGCTTGATCTTGATGCTGCTTCTCAGGGGGGAGCCTGGGATCACATCCTGTCCAGAGCCTGGCTCAATGGAAGACAAAGAGTCTGTAAGGAGAGAAAGTCATGGGAGAGCACTATTTAAAAGGGGAGGCTGAGGAAGGCACTCGTGGGCCCTTCTGAGTGGTTCCTCTTGTGGGAGCAGTTGGTCCTGTTGCTGGCCAGGGGCTGTGCACAAATCACAAATGGGCAAATGGGACTGGACTGCTGGGAATGTGCCTTGAGCTGTTTGATTTCCCAGCATCAGCCTCATTACATGGTTATGGCAATGGGAAGCTGCCATCAGCTCACATCCCAGGCAGCAGACAAAGAACTTAATGTTACAACTCACTTTATAAGTTTTTTGGCCAATCACACAGAGCAAAAGCACATTGACAGTAGTTCTATCTAATCACTATAAGCACACGTACCTTTGGTTAAACAATGCTTGCTTATTTTGAATACAGTATCTGCTTGTGAGCCTTAAAACACAATGCACAGAGCTCCATTATTAGGCTTAGAACTTCCTAATATCTCACTGGACAAACTTTTCTGCAGCTTAGAGTTATTCTAGCCAAGTGTTAATACACGGACCATTGTTCTATTTGTCCTTGCTTTTCTACTTTTTAAATAACTTTTCTGCTGACCAATCTCATGGCTGCTGCTTAGCTCTAATCACAGTTCTGCTGTTTCTGAGGCCTGCTTTTTGCAGCTTTCCCAAAACCCTCTGATTTTATGGATTCCCACAATCTCCCTCCTGTTTGCTCTCCATGCAGGAAGCAGCTTTGGAGCTACAGCTTTGCTGCCATCACACTTTTCCTGCATGAGATGTTTCCCCTCTGCTCTGCCTGAGCTCCTTGGGGTGAGTGCTCCTACTGCAGGGCCTGTTCTCCTCTGTAGTTCCATTCCTAAAGTGCTGGTCTCTTGTGTTTGTGAAGTCCCCAGGATGAGGTGAGAGATGAGAATCTGACTCCATGTTCTCAGAAGGCTGATTTATTATTTTATTATATAAATATTAAGGAATACTATACTAAAACTATACTAAAGAAAGAGAGAGGATGCTGATAGAAGGCTTAACAAGAAAGAGTAATAAAAATCCATGACTGACTCCTCAGAGTCCAACACAGCTGATGGTGATTGGTCATTAAGTTAAAACAATTCACATGAAACCAATCAAACATTGCACTTATTGGTAAATTATCTCCAGCCATATTTCAAAGCAGCAAACACAGGAGAAGCAATCAGATAATTTTTGTTTTCATTCTTTTCTGAGGCTTCTCAGCCTCCCAGGAGAAGAAATGCTGGCAAAGCGATTTTTCAGAAAATATCACAGTGACACTGTTCTTACATTAATTATGAATTTACTTGGGCTGTAGCAGCTACTCAGCACTGCCCACAGACCCCTGGTGTTGGAGGATGAGCTGGTGGGCAGTGGGCAGTGATGCTCTTAGGGTTCAAGTACCATTTCACTCCTAGTAAAGGACATTTGGAGGCACTGAAAGGATGAAATGGAAGGATTGACCCACCCTGGGCTGCAGCCAAACCAGCAACAATGCTGGGGATGGATGGTGGCTGTCCCTGCTGCCAGAGCACCTCCAGGTAACAACCTCCTGCTCTTCCCTCAGCTGAACAAATTCAATATACACTGCTCTGGGCCACTCTTGAGCAACACGTGCTGGTGGCTTGATCTGCCTCATCATTTCCAATGTCTCAATTTCTTCTTCCTTCTGCCTCCAGAGCTGGGTGGTTGTGTTTCCCTGCCAGGAGCCCAACGTTCCAGCCTTGCTTTGATCCCACCAGGCAGCGTTTCTGTTTCCAGTGAGATTTTGGCTGCTGGAGGATTTGGGCTCTGTCTGCTGGCACCAAACCCTGCCAAGCCATTTGGGCTTTGCTGTGTCCTGCTGGGCTGCTCTCTGCAGCTCCCAGGCCAGGTCAGCTCCAGCTGCCCTCCCAGGGCAGAGGAGAGGTTTGTTTGCTGGGATGTTTTGCCTTGTTGCTTGGCTGGCTGTGGTTTTGGAAACCACACTCAGTGGGAAGATTCTTGGGAAAATGAGAGCATGGGATTGGCATTTCTGACTGGGGTTTTATAGCTGGGCTGCCCCAGAAGCTGTGGTCAAATCCTTAACACCTACACTGGGAACATGACCAGAGAACTGGTGCTGGGTGATTTAAACCTCTGTGGTGCCTTTCAGTCCAGGGAGGTCTGTGCTCAAGGAAAATATTTTTTGTTATTTAATGTCTTTTCTCTTTGTTTGTTGGAGTTTTTTAACCTTAAACACAAAGATGAATATAATTGCACAAGGAAAATATGCCTTACTTTCCAAGTACAGTATTTTTTAGGGCCTAAAATATGTGTGAAGTGAAAGAATGGAACTATTTCAAAAGCACAGAATAGGAACACAATTATCAATACTTATGGGACAAAAAAACCCCTAAAGTCATACAATATAGGTGTTTAAATATGACCTAACCACAGTGCACAATTAAAAAACATCCATTTTTGCTGATGCAGTTCCACTGGTATAGAAGTACAGATGGGTGTAAATAACTCATCTCCATCCCAAGCAGTAACAGATCAATACAAATGGTTTGCTGAAATGACTGTTTCAAAATAACAGCAGCACATGCCTTGCTGCTGCTGGATTTCCACAGAGAATGTGAAAAACAGCTAAATCAGGCAGCTGTGCTGGGGCAAGGTGTGTGAACCCCACTCCCAGGGTCTACAGAAGATGCCTAAGGATGTCATTTTTTGCTTTATACCACTATAAATGAAGGTACAAAGTAAAAGCCAAAGGAGGCCCAGACCCTGGATCTTGTAAATCCCTTTTTCTAATGGACTCATCCAGGGAATCCCCCTTTCCCTCCTCCCTGGAGATCACCCCAGCTGGCATGGGTTGCTGCCCAGGAAATCCAGTGGGCATCTCCCTGGTACCTCCACCAGCTCAAAGCAAAGCAGCTTTTTATAAATTTTTATACAAAATATGTAAAAATACATTTTTCTACCCTTGGAATGAAAATGTGAACTGAAGCAGGGTTAGAGCAGAGGTAAGGTCAGGGTGAGTGTGGCTGAATCATGGGGTTGTGATTCAGGGTTTCCCAAAAATCTTATGCTGTTGCTGCCTGTTTCTTTTGGAAATAGAACTTGGAGCCTCCAAGGGCAGGAGGCCACTGAGCAGTGTTGCTCTGATTTTTTAAGATTCTCTAAGCCTTCTGATGTTTACATTCTTGTAACTTTCTCACACACTTTTTGTAAATAACTTATTGTTTTGCATTCTTTTATGGAAGAAGAGAAATTTGATGGACTGTTGGTTTGTCCAGTGACATTGGAGAGGTGGCTCTGTCACCCTCCAATCCACTGTCACTTTTAGAAAACTATAAATGTTGGAGTCAGAAAATAAACTTCCCTTTTTTCACCTTGAGAGCAGCAGTGTGTGTAAATCATATTTTGTGTCCTATAGTGACAGAGCAGAGCAGGCTCCAGCCCAGCCATGCCCTGGCACTGGAAGGGTCCAGCAGCAATTCCACCCCAGCTCTGCTGCCTCCAGACAGGGCTGGGATCCCCAGGTGGTGCCTGCAGTGCTTGGGATGGAATTACTGTGCAGTGAGGCACTGCCAGGACTGCTGGGCAATTCAGCTGCTCAGCATACCCATAGCTTAAATCAATCCTCAAAGGCCACATCCCAATAAAAGTGGATGCTGATCTGAGGGGAGGTGTGAGGTGGGCTCACAAGCAAGGCCAGGAGTGAGGTTCCACGTGTCAAGGACAGAAAAGTGCTCTGGGATTTGCTCAGTGCCATGGAGCAGGTTTGCTGCTCACAGGCTGGGGTAGCAGAGCCAAACATTTTGCTTCTAACTGTTTCTGAAACACAGAAGGTGTTTGTTGTTCTGGCACAGCAGATTTTGGCAGCTGGGAGAGAATTTGATCCTTGGCTACCCCAAAAGGAGCAGGCTGGCAATAACCAACTCCTGTGACAATAACCAACACCATCCTGTGGTTAAGGGAAGAGATCATTCTTTAAGGAATGATGTGCACACTATCCCAGTGATGGGAGAGCCAACAGCCTCAAGAGATCACAAAAATCTATCTGAATGTAGAACATGTGGGACTTTCTTTAAATCTGACTGTGAAAATAGGTTTCATGTAAGTTATGACCACAAAATGTTCAGGGATCACTGATTTTCAGGGTGACATGGCAGCACTGTCAGGGCTTTCTCTGCAAAACCTAGTGCTGCACAAAGCAAGGGCCTCAGAGGTGTTCAAGTCACTTGGAAGATGCTGTTAACAGGATTAAATGATCTGGCCTAAAGACTTGAACAAGCAGCTCTGTGGGAAGCTGGTGGATGATCTGTGCCACATGGCTTGAGCTGCTGCTCATGACTTGGCTGCCTGAACTGTAACAAAAATCACTGTAAGGGTCATTTCACCTGCTACTGGAAAGCCAGAGGAAGTAGTGCAGCTGCTGGAACTCAACTCAAAACTAATTCATGGTAACTAGTTTTGAAAATGGGGCTTGAGCAGACACCAAAGAGCTCAGGAAAGTGGGAGGATGTTTAACCATCAATCCTGAGCAGAGCCCTGGCTCCCTGGAGAAGAAAACCTTAGCAGTGCTTACCATGAATTCCTATCATGTGCTCAAGGATCAATACCCTCTCAGCTAAAATCTTCAGAGCCTCTCGAAGCTGTTGGACGCCTTCCCCCTGCAAGAAAGAAAACAAAAACATTGGAATGTGTTGCAGAATAGGCTTCTTGTCCATAATGTCACTTTCATAGTACCAAACCCTGCAGTGAGCATGTTTAAAAATGAAAAGATGTAAAAGATGAGGTAACCTAAGTAGGAGTGCAGGAGAAATCCCTGTTCAAAGAGCTCCTCATGTACACTCAGGCTGTAGTTTGTTGTCCTTGTCATCTTAGGTGTGGGCTTGAAGGGCCAAAGAGGTGTTGGGAAGTGTTTCAGGGATTGAGAGCAGGGATGTGAGAACTCCAATGCTCTGCTCTTGCAGTTTGGTCTCTTTTGGGAGTCTGTCCCTCAGCAGCTGGGAGGGACAATGGGGAAGCAATTCCCAACCAGCTCCATGTGACAGAGCAACCTCTGGGGACTGAGGTGCTCAAGAACATGGTGACAACATGGCCAAGGAAACCTCACAGACTGAGATTCCTGGCACACATTAAATTCAAACCCAAGGCACAGGGTTTGAATTTAATGCACTGCACATTTAATTGCACTGCACATTTAATTCTGGGCTCACCCTCTGGCCCCCCAAACCCACCTGTCAAAGGTTTGAAGGACAGAAAAGTGACAAAACCAAAAGTAAAACAATAGAAACACATCCTTACATCAGCACCTTTGTCTCCTTCCTCACCCTTCTTGCCTGGTTCACCCTGAAACAAAGGAAGGAAAATTGGTTACGTGCGACTGAGGAGCCTTCCAGGGGCCCTTGGATCCCTCCCCACCAAAAGAGCAAATTAAAGCAGCATTTCACCAGCAGGAAACACATGGACCTTCATGCCAAGGGCCAAAGTGCTCTTCTGAGCTTTGCCCTGGCTCCTGTCAGCTTCCCAGGAGGTCACCAGCACTTCTAACACAAATGAGCTCATCCAGGAGTGGCCAAGCTTCAGGAGGAGCCACTGCCATGGCTGGGCCCCAGCAAGGCCACAGACCACTCACTATGCTCTCAGATTAATTGCTCCTTTCCCCCCAAAATGCACATTTTCATCCTTATTTAGAACAGAAACCCCCTCCATTTTACTTTCATTAATTAGTCACATCCCTTTCTGCCTCTGAAGATGCTCATAAAGCTTTTCTTGAGCAAAGATCTCTCTGTGCTGTGAACATTGCTCCCATGTTTCCCCCAACCAGGAGGTTCATGCACTTTCTGAAGAGCAGATGACAGGGAGAGATTCAACCACTCTAAGCTAAACATAAAACAAAACTAACAATCTAAAATAAACTGGAAAGGCTTGGGCTCCTCAAACTTGTTGGACATCCCTGAGACATCTGCAAAGCAGAGGTGAGCACAGGAGAGGAAGGACCAAGGAAAAGGTTGTGTGAATTGTATGAAATGATGAGGTGGAACTAAGAAAGAGAGATGAGAACCCTCCCAGAGGCTCTGGGGCTTCTCTGGAAGCTGCCAGCCAAAAAAAAAAAACCCCAATTTTCTCCACTAGATCTCTGTCAGCCAACCTTCATCACCATGGGTTTGTTTCCCTGGCCACATGTGCCAGTGCAGACATCTCCTCTGGGCATCTGTCCAGGTATTGCCAAAAAATCATTTGGACACATCTCTAAACCTCATTACAGGGTTTCCAGCTCAGCTTGGCCAGCTGAGGTGCAGGAGGGAGTTGAGAGCAGTTGATGGACTTTGAGCTGTTTAACTGTGCCCACCTTTGATGCCAGGAGCTGCTGTCTGTGCCCAGAGGGATCTGCAGGCACAGCCCAGCCCCCTGATCCCCCCTGGTCACATCAGCACTGTGCTTTACACCAGGAGTAATTCATGTGCACAGGGATTTGTTAAGGTGAGAGTATCTATGGAACAAATATCTGAGCTGGAGCCTGTGACCGTGTTCACAGGGGTCTCAGGCTGAGGGAAGAGATGAGGATCTGACTCCATGTTTCAGAAGGCTTGAGTTATTATTTTATGATATATATTACATTAAAACTATACTAAAAGAATAGAATAAAAGGTTTCATCTCAGAAGGCTGGCCAAGCCAAGAATAGAAAACAATGAAAGAATGATAACAAAGAAAGCTATCCCGGGCTCTCTGCCTGAGCCAGCTGACTGTGGTTGGCCATTAATTATAAACATCCAACATGGGCCAATCACAGATGCACCTGTTGCATTCCACAGCAGCAGATAATCAAGGTTTACATTTTCTTTCTTGAGGACTCTCAGCTTCTCAGAAAGAAAAAATCCTAAGGAAAGGATTTTACATGAAAAGATGCCTGAGCTGGAGCCAGCAGAGCTCAGCTCTGGAGCAGCTCCAGTGGCCCCTGCAGTGCCAGGCACCAGCCCCAGCTGAGCCTGGCACCACCCACGAGTGCAGCACTTACAGGAAGTCCCTTAATGCCCCTCTCTCCAGGCAGACCTGCTTGCCCCTGTTGGAAATAAAGGCAGTGTCATTAGGAGATACTTTGCCGCTTGACAAGAGCACAGTGTAATTTTTACTAGTGGAATTAAGATGGCTTAATGGGGAAAAAAACCTTACACTTGGGATAATGTGTATAAAAAATTCCTCTCCCTTGACATTATCACTTAGAGACAGCAAAAGGGGGTTATGGTTTTCTGTCAAGTATCAGCTCCAAATCCCATCAGGATCTGGAGGAGCTGGTTGGATACAGAGCTCCTGAGCTCAGTGCCCTCTCTGTAAGACGATTAGCAGGTTTTCTGAACTTTCCAGCAGTCAGTTACATTATAGCAGGAGGGAATTTGGCTGGAGATTTGTTCCTTACAAAGACACTGCATTCTTCACTCTGGTAGAAGTGATGCTGCCCCAGCCAGAACAGAGCCCAGGACTCCCACCAAGCCCTGATTTAATCTGCTCCTGCTCCACACACCCCACAGCTACTGATCAAAACACAGGTACAATATTTTGGTTGGTTTGTTTCTTTCTCCTGCTGTGCTAATTTTCACATTGTTCTCAGTGAGGGGTTTTTGTTCTTTTTTTAAAAATTATTTTATTTTTTCTTTAAGAGAAACAGTTTGAACTAGTATGTGTTGGTTTGGGGCAGAATGAAATGCTGTTGAACTGAACATCTTTTCCTCCCCAGTGTTCCCACCCTGGAGCAGCTGGGGCAGGGCAGAATCCCTGACCAGGAGAGCAGTTACAGGTTATTTAGTGAGAAAACAGGAGCTTGGGAAGAAGAGGCAAAATGTAAAAGCATTCATAGAAATCCATTAATGAAACAGCCATATATTTCCCCTGGCTCTTTCCTGTAGACAGACACAGCAACAAACCCATCCTTTTTTCCCCCCAAAAAATATATACATATATGTACATATATATGTACCAATATGTATATATATGTATATATATGTGTATATGTAGTATATGTATATATAATATATGGCATTATAGTGTGTGTGTATATATATATATATATCTCACATATATGGTAGTGGAAAGGGAGAGCTGCTGGGTTTCTGTCCATCAAATTTGTATAAAACCAAGGGGCACGTACAGAACATTCCCATGGAATTAATTCTTCTGGAATGCCTTGCCAGCACCAGGAACAGACCCCCATGGACAGGGAGAAAAGCCCAGTCTGTCAGGTGCTCCCAGTATCTTCAAAGGGAAATACTTGGATTCTGCACAGGCAGGAGGAAAAATCTCAGAGAGGAGCACAACAACAGACTGAAAATACATAAACAGTCTGTGCTCCATGTCCAGGAGGAACAGAAAGGATGTTATCAGCTTAAAGGGGATCAAAGGATATTTAGGCTGGATGTTGGCAATATCTTTTATCCCAGCCTCCCTGGTTTTGCTCTGAAGAGTGCCTGGAGATGCTGGGGAGCCTCCCTGGCTGGGCTGAGCAGAGGCTGAGCGTGAGCAGCACACAGAGCTGAGCCATCCAGGGGCTGTGCCTGACTGCTGCAGGTCTCTCCCACATCTGTTCTCTCCCAGATTAAGCAGGAAGAATGTATAATAACATTTCCTCAAATCTCAGTAGATGTTGTAAACCTCCCCCTCCCCTCTGCTTTTCTTTGCAGCTGCACAGCTCCTCTGCTCGAGCCCTCATTTTTATCCACCAAACCCAAAATTGCAGCATGCAGTTGTCAAAACCAGCATTCAAAGCCACACTCACAAAAGACAAAAAGCACACAGAGCACCCTACAGAAATTGCAACAGAAAAAGCTGCCAGCTTCCCTTTCCACACTAACTGGGTGGTTTTTTTCTATTTATCAAGACATTTTGATATTTGGAAATCTCATTTGTCCCAAACCTAAGAGAAGAATTAAAATTCTAAATCCCTAGCAAGGAGAGAACAAAACCAAATTCTAAGGGATCTGTCAGGAGTGAATGGACACGATGCAACAGGATTTTGTTTCAAAATAAGTGCAGCAATAATATGGTATATTAGTAGTAATATTAGTAGTATGGTCAACCAAAAACTACAGCAAAATGTTAAATAAATCCTCAAGGAAGAGTTTTATCTGTTTCCTGGATGGAAATGTGACACTTTGCCACACACCATGCATTTCTATTTTTTAAGCTGAAAATAAAGATTGAATGGCAATGAGATGCAGTTGGTAATCAGTTCAGGTTTTGCTCTCTACCAGAATCTTGAATTCTAGTCCCAGAACTCCATCAGTCTGCAATCTATTTGTAAAGCCAAGTCATGCCCAAACTGGCTGAGCTGCACAAGGAAAATGTTACCAAAAAATGACCAAAAGCCACTCTGTGTTTCAGGGAAGTGCAAGTGATTTCTTACATAAGAACAAGACCAAGCACCCAAAACTAAATTATAACGGAGATTTCCAAAGGCAGATGTGCTCTCCCTCAGCTCTCTGCTGCTCCTGATGCCTCAGGAGGGGTGAAACAAGCACCTTGCACAGTCTGCAGAGAGGATCAGTTTGTGTGTGGCTGGTTATTCCCAGGAATTGGAGAAGGCAGCACATTGGAGCTCACTGATCTGCATTTCCCTGTCCTGGCTCTTTCAGGCTCCTCTGCTCTGCTGGGTTGGAAGGGGAGCAGGAATGCAGAGGAGGTTCTGTCAGGGGGGAATCACACACCTGCAGCCCCCATCACCCCATCTGTGGGACAGGAAACCTGGGAGGGAAAGGAGCTTGGCTCCCACAGCTGTGGCAGTGCAGCCACCACTGCAGACATCCATCACTCCACAGGAACCAAACAAGGTTTTCCTGCTTGTCCCTGTCCCCTCCTTTGGCTCTCTCCATGCTGGGGTCTCAGTGGCTCTCCACAGTCCATGGTACCCATTTCAGACCTAAGGGCTGATGATCCTCTGCCTCCCACTCCACTCCCAAGTGATTTTGTGCTCCCAGACTCACACAGAGATTTCAGACCATGATCTTTTGGCAATTCAGCTGGACAGAAGCAGCCAAAGGCCCAAATTTCCCTTTCAAACCCTTCCCAGTGCCTGAATGCTGGGTTGGGAATCTGACACATTTACACCCTTGTCAGATATTTCTCTGGTAGTTCCTAAACTTCACCAGTTTGGAATTAACATTCAAACCCTGATTAGTTATCAGCACTGGACAGCCCACTGAGGACTGAGACACATAAACATTAAGAACATAACTTCAGTATTCCAAATATGTTAAGAACATCATTTGACCTGGGGAATGACTTTGGTTCAGGAAAATCTGGTGAGTTTTTAAAGCTTTAGTGCCACAGAAGGAAGAGTTCAGTTGGACCTCTCAAAACACCCCACACTAAACAGATTTGGCTGGTGTAAGAAAGTTGGTCTCCACAGGCCTTTATCCACCATGTCTTTGCTACCTCTTTGGGGTAGCAAATCTAAATTAGCAAATCTAAATTAGCAAATCTGCTACTTTCTTTGGCAAATACCTAACTTTGCAAGGCACTCAACTCTTTCTCTGTACAGGAAACCTCATCTTGGTTCCTGCAGAAACCCCAGAAAATCTGAATTTACAGCTGGTGGTGGCTGTGGTCCCACTGCATGTGTGAGAGCTGTGCTGTGTAAAATTGCACAGCCCCCAGATGCTGTGGGGATCTCCCTGTGCCTGTAAATCCTTACTCTCTCTCCTCGGTCTCCTTTGGATCCCTTTGGTCCAGGCTGTCCTGGAGATCCTGGCAAGCCCTGGAAGAGATGCAGAATGAGAAGGAATTAATTTCTACTGTGCAGCCTTTGTGTAGGTGTAGTGAATACACTTCCCAGTGATCCTCAGCTCCTGAAAACCTCATACACCCATTAAGCAATTGGGCTAGATTCTCTTTTTCCTTCAAGCACACACAACAGGAGCTCTGTTTGCAGATATCCCAAGCCCTGCACTTTCTGCAGATCCCTCTATTTGGTTCTTTTAATGCACTGCAGGCCCCTGATGTAACATTTTTTTGGGGTCAGTATGACAGGACAGTTCTTGTTCTCAGTTACCAAGAAGAAATTAATACACAGGTACTGTGTTTAACTTCAAAATCCCCACTGCTTCCCCCTACTTCTTAATTGCCTCAGTGGGTGGCAGGAGCAAGCACACATACCTGAAAATTAATTGGATTGTGTAGTGGAAATTATTTTGAAGCTATTCACTCACCCTAATAAACAATTTTGAAATTAAGTCCAATCTCTGCTAATAATTTTACTCCCTGGGTTGAACAAATCTATAAAGCAGTCACCAATGGCTAAGAAGGGCACAGTCTCCAGATTTCTACTAATTGAACTGCTATGCAGAAATCGATCCAAATTCTTCACTTATCCACCCAGAGAAGCCACAGTTATTAACCAGACCATGAGAGAACAATATTGTTTGTTTATATTCAGCCTGTCAGCTCTCCTTCTCTCCACAAGATGCTTTTTTTCCTCCTCAGGTGACTTGGAGGCTGCAGAAGTGAGTTTGGAGCTCCCCTCCAGGCCACTGGGGATTTGAGCCAGCCTGGTTGGGAACAGCCCCACAAATCCCCACATCAGCACCCAGAGAAATGGGGTTTGTGGGCCCAGAGAGAGGAGCATTGCTGTGAGGAGCTCAGACCCAAGGAGGTGGCACACATGTGATTTAAGGGTGAAAATGGGGAGCCCTCTCCCATTCCAGCTGGGAGCCAGCAGTGCTCACCAGCAGCACCTTGTTCCCTGCCTGCAGCCAGCCCCACCAAGCATTCAGAGACTTAGGCCTGGCTTAGGAGGTTCCCTGGAGCTGCCAAACCAGGTAGGGCACAGACCAGGCTTGGCCTTATGTCAAACATGCAGCATGGACAAAGCCCAAGTGTCCAAAGCATCCTTTGATGTGTGGTGAGACAGGGATGCTCAAGGACACTGAATTCCACAGTTTTGCAAAAAAATAAAAGGCTTACAGTGTGTGCTGCATGTCAAAAAGCCAGACTCTGCTGCAGAATCTACTTATGAATTGTGAATTACCTTATATTTAATGATGTTAAACTGCATCTGTCATTTGGCTGCCAAATCTCTCACTGTGTTTGTATCTATCTGGAGTTTCTCATTGTTCTCCAGAGTATTTCCTAATTGAAAGGATTCTGCTACACTGGCAAACTTTCCCTAACCTGTTGTTCATTGCTTCTTCAAAGTGGTTAATAAACACATAGGAAAAATCTTTATTTTCAGTTCCAAACCTCCTCTTACCAGATCTGAGTTACATCCCTCTATAAAGTCACTTAACCTTTCTCTAAGCTCTCCAGCCATGTGGGATTCCTCTGAAAAATCTGATGCTGCTGTTTCACCTCCACATTGAGCAATATTCTTCCCAAAACTGAGTCCCTTTGTATCAGCCAACCACAGTTTGAGAAGTTTGGCAGTTCCCTATTCATGACTTCACTTCTTTCCATTTAATCAGCTTTTTCCATCCATGTGAGTGCTGTGCCCTTCTTCTACCGTAAATTCTTTGGAGTGAGTTTTTCCCACTCCATTATTATCTCCCCCCTCCACAATGTTTGTATCAATAAATAATCAAACTGATGGGAATTTGTGATCTTTTTCTTGAACAGAAAGTGTTATGTCTGAAAAAGCAGGCTTAACATTCACTCTGGTGAATTGGTGAATTCCCATTGATGCATTTTTGTTCTTTTTATGTGTTCCACAGGAAATGCAGAGTTTTTTCTATCACTGTGTTACTAAAGCCCATGTCAGATCCTTTGCATCAACTCAGGCCACAGTGAAATGTTTTGACACAGCAGCAGCACAATGTGTTGTTATGATTAAGGGAAAATCTGGAAAGCACAACCATTTCAACCTCTTAATCCAGAATGAGAAAAGGGAAATAAACCACAGGAAAAGGAATTAAATCACAGAATTTCATGGGGAACACAACAGCAGATCTAAGATTACTCTCCCTCCTTGTGCATGGGATGATGTTTCACCCCTGATCCCCTCTGCCCTCCACCCCAAAGCACCAAAGCACCTTACTTGTGATCCAGGGGCTCCAATGGGTCCTGGGGGCCCTTTGGGTCCTGAAGCACCTGGTGGCCCTGGTGGGAATCATAATTGGAGACAATGTTAAGGAAATTTAGGAGGAAGAACCCTAAATTCCAAAGGCATGCACTTCCTTTCATATTCTGCTGAGTCTCCCAATGAGTGAGAACCCTTCATCAAACACTGGATTATTGAATACCCACATCCTGACAGAACACATCCTAGGGGGCATGTTAGGGATCTGGGAGGAAAAAAATGGTGAAAATAGGCAGGAAGGATGTCAGTAACATCCACATTTCCATTCCTTAAAATGCAACTTTTGAGGAAACTTAAACTAGATCCATGGAACAGCTCCATGAGAGCGAGACACTGCAGGTGCTGGTGCTGAAACAATCTCAGGTGGCAAGGGGAGCCCCAGGGCTGCTGCACTTGGTCAGAGATAGGAGAGGCTGAGCAGGGCAAAGCAAAGCTCTCTCTTGGTCTTCACTCACTGCAGTGGCAATAAATTAATTTAAAATCTGTACCACAGGAGAGCTGCTTCCAGGATGAGTTAAGCACATTCTAAACAGGTCAACTTGTCTCACACAGTGACTTAACAGATTCATTCCTTTTGAAAAAATAATTATATCTCAACAGTAGCTGTTAAATTATACCTGCAGATGGGAGACAGGATATTTGCTTAGCCTGAACTTAGCAATACTCCTCTCTGCTTTAGTTGTCACAACCCTTGAGATGAAACAATGTGGACATTATACACAAAGTACAGCTGAATCAGCCTCAATCATTAATGCACCATACAAATGCTTAAGTCAAAGAATAAAGGAATTGAAGGATAAATGAAAGGCCCTCATAATGAAGGGAGAAGCCTTTTCTGCAACTAATGGGAGTTGACTCCTAAATATGCATCATACAGGGAAGTGCTGACGTTTGCAGGAATATTATCATTTAAGCCACCCATCAGCACAGAGAGAAAGAAGGCTTGTCACTGAATTTTCATCTCAGATTCTGATTTCAGTTACACTGGTGAAAATCTGCAATTGCTCAAACTGGCTCCAAAGTCTTCACAGACATCACAGAGCCTCTGGCCAGCCCCTGCTTGGTGCAGCTCTGCAGTGACAGGACAGGTTTGCAGCAGGGGGAGAACAGCTCTGCTCTCAGGAAGGAATCACTGAACAACCTACTTTTAAAAACAGCTTTTAATCAGCTCTTTTCTCAAGATGTAAAGGTCAAACAACCAACCACTATGAACAGATGAAAACCCAGTTACTTCTTGCCAGTGAGGAGCCCTCCCGTTCCCTGCAGACACCCACAGACCATCAACTCTCCACCAGAGGGGCTTTGCCATCATCCTGCCCTGCCAGCCCCGAGCCCGGCCCCGAGCCCAGCCCCAGGCCCAGCTCTGAGCCCATCCCCGAGCCCACCCCTAAAGCCAGCTCTGAGCCCATCCCTGAGCCCAGCCCCGACCCCAGCTCTGAGCCCAGCCCCAGGCCCAGCCCCGAGCCCAGCCCTAGGCCCAGCTCTGACCCAGCCCCAGCCCAGCCCCGGCTGTCACCTGGTGGCCCCACAGGCCCCGGGGCTCCCCGCGGGCCGGGCAGCCCTGCCAGGATGGTGTCGATGACGGTGGAGGCCAGCTGGGCTTCTCCATCTGCAACAGAGCACAGGCAGGGTCACAGTCAGGGTCACAGACAGGGTCACAGTTAGACTCAGGATCTCAGTCTTGAACCCAGCCAGGATCGCAGTTGAACTCGAGCCCAGCCGGGATCTCAGTGTTGAGCCCAGCCAGGACCACAGCTAGACTCAATCCCAGCCAGGATCTCAGTTAGTCTCAAGTCCAACCAGGATCACAGACTCGATCCTAGTCGGGATCACAATTAGTCTCGATCCCAGCCAGGATCTCAGTCAGACCCGAGCCCAGCCCGGCTCTCTCCGCGGTGCTCTGGCGCCCGTTGCTGGCCGCGGGCCGGCAGCGCTGCAGGGTGAATTTTGCGGGCAGTGTTGCAGGATGGATTGGGCTGGCAGCGCTGCAGGATGCTGAATTTGGGCTCCTGGAGCACCTGCTTTGCTCTCCAAGGCTGTTGTGGAAGAGGTTTTACAGAGAGTTCTATGAGCCATAGAGAAGTTTGATAAGAGGATCCATGTTTGCCCCTGAAAGAATTTTCTACCAAGGTCGTTGACACAGAAACCAAGAAAGAGAGAAGAATAAATAAATAAAAAAGCAACCCTCAGTATTTATTGCAGTGCCAAAACCATATTCCAACCCTGCTCCCTGTGGACCTGTACTGTGGCACAGCTGTAATCTGGGCAGGTACGTGTATGGCAGCACCTTTCATCTTTCATCACCCCACATCATTTTGCGACAGTTGTGGAAACCTGGGGCAAAAATTCAATGAACAACCAAGACGACAAGGCCACAAAACAAGCACAAGAACAAGGAATCCCACATCCTGGTGCTACCAAGGCCCTGACCCTTTGCTGAAGGACCAACAATAAATCTCCTATTTAACCTGGATGAAGATGTTGACTCGTGGTCACCAGGATGGCAAACCCTCTGAAAACCCCACATTTTCCACAGCTGGAGGTGCCATAAAGGAATAATGTCCACCTCCTCCTGCCCCTGACCTCAAGCTTACTCATGTTTCCTTCCACTCATCCCTGTAACTCATCACAGTAAAATCCAGGGGAACCCTGGGCAGGAAAAGGCTGGGAATGTCTCACTGCAGATGCCAAGTGACACCAGGAAGGTCAGAAGGGTGTTTGCTTACTCTGCAGAGTCCAGCCCAAAGCTCAGAAGGTGAACTCTCCAGAAATTTCAGCAGTCACTTTGTGAAGCCTTCCCAGCTTCTGGAGCAGTGATAGAGAGAATTTCCAAGGCAGGTGTTTGAAAGCAGTTCCAGGGGAAACTGTGCAATGGCTTTGGCTGCCAAGGATGACAGGATAGCTCTGCAATGCCTTCCTGGCAGCAGGACAGCACAAGATCCAACCCAGATTCCTCTAAGAACCACATTTTGTGCCTAAAACCTGAATGCAAACAGGTATTTATCTGATTGCTGTTTCTAAACCCATTCATTCCCCCTCCTCACAGCCCTGAAACAAAGCAACTGAGACTCTTCTCATGTTCAGGAGGGAAGGTACCCCAGTGGAGTGTGTAATCCAATTAATTTGAGTTTTATTTGACCATGTCAAAATCCATCACAGCTTGGGAGTAAGATGAAATTGGAAAATGAGCATCAAACAGCAATGAAGGCATTAACAGTTGCAGAACTTTTTGTTTTTAAAGTGATCAACAAAATCAACTGCTCATCCACTGAGAGGGGCAGAGGATGGACAGCAAACAACCAGGGTTTAATTTCTGCTGGAGGTAAGCCAGGGATAAAGATTTGGGTTACAAAACATTCCAGCTGAATGGCACATTATTACCATGACAGTTACTCCCACAAATCCACCCCTGCTGACATTTGACTCAACATTATTTAATGAAAGGTGATTCCATGATTGTGACACAGAGGAGAGCTCTGATCAACAACCCTTGGGCTCAGCAGCTCCTGCCTGGCCTGGGCAGCCCAGGGCTGTGCCAGCTCCTGCCTGGCCAGTTCCTTCAGAGCCAGGTTCCTTTCCAGGATCAGCTCTGAATGAAACACACTGTCAATGAAATGGGGCTCAAGTCTGTAAAACACAACCCTCATGTGTTTTTAAGGGATTCCTCCATGTTCTCGTAAAGCAGCAGGAAGAATTTGTATCTCCTTATAAACTCCCTTATAAATGGGGACATGCTGGGGCTCTCTGCAGCTGGAGATTGTTAGAGCAGCCACAAAACAGCATCAAATGGTAGCAGGAATCTTCCCTTGTCAGCCACCTCCTGCACTGAGCCAGGCTCTGCTGGGCTCAGGAGCTGGATTCTGGTTCAGAGCTCCTGGGCACCCCAAAGCAGCAGACAATGCTTCATTTGGGAATCCTTGATACTGAATTTGCTCCAGGAGCTCTCCAAGCCAAGGGGAGCAGTGAAACCAGTGTGGCCTGGCCAGGTAGGAGCACCTGTGTTCTCTGGCATGGAACAGAGACACCCTGAACCAGCACAGAAATGCCCTGAAGGACACAGGGAAAGCTGCCCAGGCAGAGCAGAAAAGGCAGCTCAGGGCATACTTGGAAAGAAATCAGGGTTCTCAATTCCTTTCCTCCTCTCCTTCCCCTTCCCTTCCTCTACTCTGTTCTCCTTCCTCAGGCAGGGCCCTGCTGGCAGCTGGGATGGTGCTGCACTGATCCCTCTCCCTTATCACCTCTGACATGCTGGGCACATCAGCTGCTCTGCCTCAGTTTCCCCTTGCTCTCCCTCAGGGAGTGGTGGAGTCACCTTCCCTGGAAGTGTTAAAAATGTGGGGCTGTGGCTCTTGAGGACATGGCTTGATGGCTGGGCTTGATCTTGGAAGTCTTTTCTAACAGTGATGATTCTATGAAAACAGGTTAATTTTACTTCATGTGTCCTTGGCAGATCTTTGAGCTGGAAGGAAACAGCCCTCAAGAGTGAGAGTTCCATTATTTTCCCCAACTGTTCCCTGGAAATCACCAATGTTAGCACAAGGAATAGGAATGAGCTGGCTCTAGCCCATGTACCTGATCACTCATTTTTAAGGGAGAGATCCCAGTAGCAGCAGCCCCAGCAGTGGGGAGCAGCAGCTCAGTCTCTGGCTGAGGGTTCTGACTAAGGGATAAATTCCCCCATTATGGCCTTGATTTGTTGAGACAGGATGGAAATGAAGTAATCCTGCCTTAATTTTTTTTCTGCTACCTGATCTGGAGGGAAAAAATGGGACCAATTCTTTTACCACAGCATAGGGAAACTGAGAAAATATTTGTCTCCCTATTTCTGGCTTCTGCCTGCAGATAAATATTGCCAACAGGAACTTGCTGCAATTAATAAAGGCACAGGCATTAACCATGTTCAGGCAGAACCAAACTCTTTATAATAACAATAACCTGATACAGCTCTCACATCTCATTCCCGTTAGCAGGAATATGCCTCCCTCTGCTGTCAGCAGCTGGAATTTTGTGTTTATAGTTTTCAGCTGTGCTCCTTTCAAAACAAGTAAATACATTTTTAAAAAGCTAAACAGAATTTACAAGGCTAAGTTTTACTGGTGGCTTTCCACCAGCCTGTGGGAGGCAAAATCAGCCAACAGAGAGGAAAAATGGTAAGAAAATAAACTTGATACTGCCAGAACATTGTCATGGTGATAACTTACATGTAAGATAACTTACACTTGCAGCTGGATTTGTATTAAGAAAAAGTGTCATAAAGTTTTGGGCTACTCCTTCTGCAAACCAAGAAATGCCCAGGCATGGAGGGAGGAATGCCCAGGGATGGAAACGGAGCAGTCACCATCTCCTCACTGCTCTCAAGTCCCTGTGCTGCAGAGACAATAGAAATAATTATCCACCATTTATCCTCTCCCATTTGGGCACAACACTGAGTTCACCCTGCTCACACATCAGCTGGGAAGGCCATGCAAAGCCTTTATTCACTTTTTAATTTGTCCACTGATCACAAGGAAGAGTTTAATTCAAAGGGAGGTTGGAGGGAGGGGGCAGCAGCAGCACCCAAACCATCCTCAGGGATCACTTGGAATAAAAGGCAGAATGTGTGACCCTGAGAGGAGTGAGACAACTGTAATGCAGAACTCCCTTGTTCTCAAGCTGGAGAATGCAGCATGTTGATGTGTATTTTGTGAAAATCTCAGTATTGAACCTCAGTTACTCATCCTGCCCGTACACCCTAATAACTGAATACAAAATCAAGCAGTTAAAATTCTCCCTAAATTAAAAATACATCTGTTCACTTTTGGGAAAAGGAGTCTGGAGAGCAGAGTGGGCGGAAGGGAAGGGAGAGCTTGAGATAACTGTCAGACATGGGGAGACTCAGTAATCCTTGGCTGTAACTGAGACAGCTGAGCTTTGGAGCTGGGCAGGAGCAGCAGAGCTGGGCAGAGGCAGAGCTGAGCTCTGGGGGAGTGGAGACCCAGCAGAGCCAGGGCAGACACAGCTCAGCTCTGCTCCCTCATCATTGCTGCCAGCTCCACAGGGCTGCACCAGGAGAATCAAGCCCAAATCTGAGAGCATTCCAACCCAAGTGCAGGATGTGCTTCCCTAGAAAGCTTTCACAGCACAAATCAAATAAATCTATGCTTTAAATCAGCACAAGCACAAAGAAACCCTGGCCCTCCTGTTACAGGGAAGGGATAAATCAGGGTGGCAGTGTGGACTCTCCAGTCCATAATTCTGTGGTTTGTGTGCATGTGGGATAATGTGGATGCACCAGAAACACAGGTGGAAGAAGCATCTGCAGGGGCAAGGAAGGAGACACATTTAACAGATGTTAAATGTTAAATGTCTGTTGGAATTCCAGAGCTGCAAATCTCTAGTCCTTGCTGATTCCTGAGCAGCCCTGACACTCCAGCTCCACAGCAGTGGCACCAAGAGGGCTCCAACCCCACAGCTGGGGTGCACCAGCACCTGATCTGCCCCTCTGGATCCCTCTGGCCCCTTCTCTCAGGTGATGCTACCTGAGCTCTGTCATTTCACCAGAGACTCTCCTCCCTCTCCTGATGGAAGCTTAGAGAACACCAAACTGCCTCCCCAAAGCTGGGATGAACCTAAAAAAAGACATGCACAGAGAATAAAATCCTCCAAACCCTGCTCTCACTGACAGTTTAGGAGAGCAGGGACTTCATTCTTCATTTTGAGAGGTGAACCCCCTGTGGTTTCCAAGATGTTCCACCTTGACCAGGAGCTTCCAAGAGACCCACACAGTGCAGGGAGTGCCCAGCTGCTCCCAGGGCTTGGCAAGGAGGTGGGAGCAGAGCTGAGTGCTCCATGCCTGCCCACTGCTGATGCCACAGGAGAACATGGGAAATGAGGAGGAACTTACTTTCTTTTTCAGCTGTGGGCTGCAGTGAGTAGAGAACCCCTTGCTGGAAGGTGAGAGGGAGGCTTGGCGTGGCTGGTGGCCCTGGAGGACCTGGGGGACCTGGGATCCCAGTTTCTCCTGGAAGTCCTCTTGGTCCTTGAGGTCCCACCATCCCTGTGCAGAGGCAGGAGAGGAGTGTTAATGCTTTTGGGGATGTGCTAATGGTGCTATCATGTACAAAGGCAGCAAGAAGACAAAGGATTTCTGTCCTGAACTGCATAAAAGGGTGGGGAAAATAGAAACAGCTTCCCAATTTTCCTTTCATTTGGGGGTTTGGTTTTTTTGGTTTTTTTGTTGTTGTTGTTTGTTGTTGTTGTTGTTGTTTGGGGGGGTTTTGTTTTGGTTTTTGGGGGTTTTTTGGTTTTTTGTTTGTTTTTTGTTTGTTTAGCATCTTCCTCTGCAAAGGAGAGAGCTTGACTTGGCTCAGAGGTGGTGCCTTTGAGCAGCCCAATTGCTGAAAGAGTGAAACCTCCCCTCTCCCTGAGGCTGAGTGAGAAACTACATGCAGCAAAGTGTGAAATCAAATCCTCCTTCCCTCCAGGTACACCTGTGTCACCTCCCTGCCAGGAAGCAGAGTCAGTCCAGGAGCAGACAGATCACATCTCCTGTGGGGCTGCAAGGCTCTCCTTGCAAACTGAGAAACCAAAAAAACCCAGACACATCCTTGGCCAGACCTTGGCCACTGACAGCTTGCCAGAAAGTGCCAAAAAATGTCCACATTTAAGGCACTCTCAGAGTTTTAAATGTTACCCAAGCTCAGGCTCACAAGGCTCAGCCTTTCAGCCACAGAGAGCAGAGCCTGAGGTCTGGCACCTTTTGTGCAGTATCACCTTCATCAAAACATTCAGGAACGTTTGGGGAATGAAGAAAGACTCCTAGCTCAGGAATGGAGTGCTCTCTGAAAGAATGGCCTCCTAACCTTTTCCCTTAACACACAAAAGCATCATTAGTTTGACATCCTGGCATCTGACAGCTTGACACAAATGGTGGAGAAAACAGGGAGTTAAAGCAGGCACCCAGTGAGAGGGTTAAACAGGGAATGCTCTGCTCCAAAGGCTGACAGGTCACAGGCTCCTGAGCAGGATGGGGAAACATGATCCTGCTCTGCAGCTTTCTGGGATAGGCTGTCTCCTGCTGCACAGGAAATCCCAGGGTCAGCCATTGCTCCTGCAGGTGGTTGCCTGCCCTGGGAGCTCCTGGCTGATCCAGCTCCCAGGGAATTCCCACTGGGATGGATTTGATACCAACTGAAGATGCTCAGTCTTGTGTGTCTGGCCTTGTGTGAGCTGCTGTCACAGCCAGTTTGTGTGGAGTGAAGCCTCTCCTGTGACAGGACTCACCTGGTGGCCCTGCAGGGCCCCTCTCCCCGGGCTGTCCCTTCTCTCCTTTGGGCCCTGGTGGTCCTGGGAGTCCTGTGGGGCCAACTGGGCCTGGGGGACCAACCTGGCCTGGAATCCCTGAAATGTTAGAAAGGAAATCAGCTGAAGTTAGGACACTGCTGAGCCAGAAAGGCTTCAGCAACCTCAGAACCAGAGGGGAAAGACTTAGTGATGCAAAAGGGAGAAATGCAGCAATGCCCTGACAGGGGGCCACTGCTGGCAGGAGCTCTCTGGCAGGTAAGCCAGACTGGAATTTACTTCTCCTCTTCTTCCTTCAATCCTGTAAGGAAAAAGCACATCCCCATGCACAAGACCATCCCCAAAAAGTCAGCAGGATGTGCACCCCCAGCTGGGATGTGCTGGGCAGAGCCACACTGAGCCCACACTGTGCCCTTCCCAAGGCCCGAATGGCTTTGGCAGGGTCTGGGTGTCCTTTGCTGGGCTCATCCAAACTCCTGGGCCATCCCAAAGTACCAAAATACACAGAATAGATTTGCCAAAGACAATCAAACCCCATCTCCCACTTGCTCTATTCACACCCCCAGAGGTTCTGTATCAATGATGTTTTCCTGGTTTCTCCTGTGCTCATTCATCTCTCAGGGCTCTGTGCTGCGCACAGGTTTTTAATCCCAAAGTGGCATTAATGCCCCCCCTTTGTGCAGGAACTGGCTGTCAGTAATGAACATCACTGAGCAGGGGTCCAGGGCAACACCAGGAGCAGTGACTGCAGCCCATGGGACATTTCTTGGCAAGCCCAATTGTAGGAGTGACAGGGGGTAGGACAGTCAGGACAGACAGAGAGCACAGATCTCTGCAGCCAGGTCAGGAACTTGGGGTTTATTGCAAAGGGCCTGGGTGCAGGGCCCTGCTGGGAGCTGCCAAACACAGCTCAGAGCAGGACTGAGAGGAGAGAGGGGGAGAGAGGATGAGAGGGTAAGAGAGGAAGAGGGGTAAGAGAGTAAAAAGGTAAGAGAGTAAAAATCAAGAACATGAAGTTCCCATTACAATACCATAAATCTTCTTCTCTGTTGAATATTCTGATTCTCACTAACCAATCTAGTCCAAGATACAAATCCTACAGCATTTACATACAGCCTATAAGAATCATTACATTGCCATGCTGTGTTACATTTTAAACCCTAAAAACTCCTCTTTGGGCCCCTTCTGCCAAGCTGTAGGGTCTGCTCTGACCCTTGGGCCTGTCTGCAAGCAGAGGGTGTTGTTCCATCAAAAGGGGATCACCTTCAGCTGGCCATGCCATTGTTTTTCAGTTGTTCAGTAACTGAGGGATCTCAAAGCTTGCTTTCATTTCAATCTTGCTTATAGTTTCCATATTCTCAAAATCTTTTGCCAGACAATCATATTTATAAGGCTTTCCTGTTTCATCTTCCCCAACACCAAATCAGACCCCCAGTAAGCCCAGGAGAGGTGCAGAGGCAGCATTGGTGACCTCAAAGTCACCACTTCTGGTGACACTAAATAAAATCTTAATGTTTTCCCCAGACTACCAAAACAACAACAACACTTGGCAACTTTATGGTGTTGTTCAGAAGAGCACTGCTGATCTTGGGCTGACATGGAGAGACATTTAAACATTGTCCAAACAGCACTGAAGCTTTGATGCCCTGGAGGTGTGGGCAAGTGGCTCTGTCTGCTCAGATTAAGTGGTTAATGGTTACAATAAAGGCATTACTGTCAGAGGCTCCTGGTTTCTGGGCTACCAAAGGGCTCAGAGGATTTGAAAGCAGTGGCAGATGCAAGCCCCAAAGCCAGGGGGAGATCAGGATGAGTCCAAAGTTCAGCACACTCAGATTTCAGTCCATGTGTCACATATGACCACAACACAGCAGAGCAATTGAAGGTTTGATCAACTCTTAAGGAGAGTCTTTCTCCTTCTCAGGTATCAGGAGAGGTACTGGACCCCCAAAACCAGAGCCAGCAGAATATGCTGCACATGGGGGTGGAGAGCATGGATGGGAATGGAGGGAGAGAAGGAGGAAAGGAAGGAAGCTGGACAGCACCTCCCCAGCTGGTACCAGGGAACAGGGCTGCACAACCACATCGAGGCTCACAGGATCTGCAGCTCCCACATTTGGGTACAATTCCCACTCTAGATGTGGGATAGCTCACCTGGAGTACAAAACCTCATCACCCCAGACTCCTCATTTCTCAGAACAAAGCAAGAATCCCCCAATATTAGACCCCCCTGGGAAAACTACCCTTCCTCTCTTCTTTTTTCCATTTTGGAGAGATGTCCAAACTGGTTTTTCTTACGAAAAAGAAATCTCTCTGCCTTCAATCCACGATAAAACTGAGGAAATGTCATTTCTCAATGGCTTTCAGTGGGAGTGTGAGCCTGTACTTTTGTTGCATTCGGCCATCAATAAAGATCTGATTTAATCTGAGTATTGAATAAGGAATTAAGGCCAGGTTTCAATTTGGATCCACAATTTGCTTACCCACAGGACACAAACTGCAGCCTTTTCTATGGATAGAAGGATGGATCTCCCCTGGCAGAGGATGCTGTCCTGGGAAGCCCAGGCAGGTGATCAGGAGCCCTTTAGGAAATCAAGTGCATTTTTCACAGCATTGGAAACAGCTTCTACCCCTAAAAAACCCAGCACACCTCAAACTTCCCTGCAGCAACTTGCAGCACAGAGGGAAGAACAGCAGAAACTGTTTTGCTGTGCTGCTGAGCGTGGGCCAGAACGTTCCCTCACTTGTGGAAATCACCCTCAATCCTTCAGTCCAGCCTTATAACTCAATCCATGAAGTCCTGGAGCCCAGAGCAATCATTTCCTGCAGCATCCTCAATGCCAGTGCTGCAGCAGAGCTTTAGAGAAGCTGGCACTTCCTTCCCTGGAGGGGGAAGAGCTGAAGGAAAGGCTGGAGAGGCAGCACTGGGTAATGAGGCAGGCAAGGGCTCACACTGGTGACAAATGGTGTTACCAGCTCTAAAGAGACAAGTGCAACAGGGGGAAGAAAGAGGGAAGGATTCAGGGAAAAGGGGGGAGGCCAAATCTTCAGCTGGCATAAATCAGCTGTGCTGGAGTGCCACTGCTTCCAGAGAGCTGAAACCCCTGGTGTTTATCCTCCAAACAATATAAGGCAAAAGACCACAGGAAAAATATTTTTTAAAAGGCAGAGGGTGAGCAATCTACTGCTGGAAACCAAATCAGATGTGCAGAGACCTGGATTTTCTCCCTGGCTCTGTCATTAACCTGCAACACACCATCTGCTGCCCTCCTCCCCAGGGTTTTCCCTGCACAGGAGCTGCTCTGTTTGTATGGAGCACAGGAAAGTGATGTCCTGACATCCCCAGAGGCTCCTGGAGCCCCCAGCAGGTCACACCAGCTAGAGAAGAGTTTTCTCCCATCACTCAGGACATGCCCTGCTGGCTCTGGCCACATGTGCTCCCATGATCTGCCTCTCCATCCCTTGTGTGCTGGGGAATGACAAAACTGGTGTTTGGCCTCTCCAACCAAAGCAGCCTGATATGATCAGATAAAACCCAAAGAACAAACTCAGCCTCTCCATCTGTGAGGCTCCAAAGAGCTCCTGGCCACAGGACCCTTCTGATTTTTGGGATATAAATACAGGACTGGGCACAACAACAGTCTGTGCTTTGAAAGAGAAATAGCAGAGACTATGAACTTACCCTGTGGTATCAGCTGCTCCTCTGCACCTCTGGGTCCTTTAGGCTCTGTTCAAGAAGGACAGGGTAAAATAATAATAAAAATTTAAAAAAAAAAATAGGACAAAAATAGAGAGATGAAAAATTAGGTCTCTTGCTGCCAGCTGGCTCAGCCAGAGTATATATATTTTCTTAATACTCAGAAAAATGTATTCTGTTGATTAACAAGCTGATCAGAAAGGCCAGTGCTGCAGCTGTCTCAACAGCACTGATTGCTTTGAAATGATTGTCTGTTTTCAGCCCTGTCACTCACAGGAGCAATAACCACCCTCACAAACAGTAGCAAGTTCTCCTGGACCTCAGCCTGGAGAGGCATCAGCCAGCCCAGAGCTACAGGGTCATCCAGAAACCCTCCCAGAGCTCACAGCACCCTGTCCCTGTCACCCACCTTGGTGTCAGCCCATCATCCTGCCCTTGGTCCCTCCAGCTGTGTGACATGCAGGGTAAGGCTGGGATTTATTTTGGCAGAGCACCCAGAAGAAGGGCAAAGTAGGGAATGGTTCCCAAAAGGCTCAGGGGAAGGGGTGGCAGGGACAGAGGGTTTGATTTCCACAGAATCATCCAGGACACTCAGGATTTTGGTTTGACTTCCACCTTCTCCAATATCCCACATGATGAAAGATCTCCTGAGATCTCTGTAAGGGAACCTGGGGGCAGCTTGGGGCAGCAAGTCAGGGCATGGTGGTGAAATCATGCAAAATGAGCAGCTCCCCTCCATCCTAAAGTGAGTGGAGCTCACTTCACTCCACCAAAATCCACGCTGAGTTTTTCTGGCTGGCTTTGAATCATGGACACAGACTGGTGTGGGGAGGGAAGGAGGCCAAATATGGACCCAGATCCATGACATGTCCCCACAGCTCTTGAGCAAAACAGCAATTTGAAGCCCACAGAGGCTGGGTAGGGGCTCCAGCAGTGTCAATGAGCCACTGAAGTGATTATTTCTCATTGCTGAAAGACCCTGGCCTGGCTCCAAACGCTCCAGTGCATTCCTGATTCCTTTCTTACACCACAGTTATTTTCCACACCAGGTTAAATAAATCAAGGCCAGAAAAACAGAGGGTAACAGTGAGCAAGGACAACAGCTGGCAGCACACACACAGAGCCTGGAAGCTGGCTGACGCCACAGGCTCACCCACAGCTCAGACATCACCACCTGCCTCAGGAGGTGACTCCAGTGCCCACCTGGCCTTGCTGCAGGGCTGGGAGGTGCTGGCCCTGCACCATGGGCTGGTCAAAGTGCTGCAGGGCAGCTGCTCTGAAGCCTGGGGAGGAGACAGCCACTGCTCTGTGCCCAGCAGCCCAGTGAGACAGAGGAGAAATTCTCCAGAGTAGAAATCCATTTTGATTTAGGTGAAATGTGCATCTTTGAGTCTGTGGTCAGAAAACACAGCTATGTAGCCTGACTGCAAGGCCTAGGCTCAGGGAAACTGATTTAATGGACAGAGATAAGGAGGGGGGAGACAAAGGTGATAAAGAGACAGAGAGACTGCTGTAAGAGCAGTCAACCTGACCTAAGAATTCTTTCTGATAAAGAAGAACTAGTGGCAAATATCACACGAAATTTGTAAAAATGAATATGTGTGAACCTATTGTGAAATGTATGCATATGGATTTGAGAGGGAGATAAAAAGAACCCTGAAGTTCCCAGCATGTCTTTTAAGGAGAGTAATCTCCACATGGTCCAGCACTGTAATAAACATACCAGCTTTACAACTGTCACAAAGTTGTGGAGGTTTTGGCTATCTCTGCAAAACAACAGGACCACGTGTGAGGAGCCTCCATGAGGACAGGACATGGCATGGAAGGCTCAGAGCATTTTCCTGAGCTGACTTTGGTGCAGCAAAGTGCAGAGCCACTGCCACAGCAGAAATAAATTAAATGGGAAAGGCAGAATGAGCATCTAATGGACACTGGGGAAGCTGCTCTAATTCAGCTCCTGGCAGCTGTGGCTGTGGTTCTGAGAATATTTTGCAGAACATATTGTTAGTGAACCTCCCTCCATGTTGTGGCATCATGACAAATCATAAACAGGGATGACATCTGGGCTGTTTTGGTTGCTCCAAGTCTGCTGCCATAATAAACTGCCTGGGCCAAAAAAATGAAAAAAAAAATAAAAAAAGAAGAAGAAGAAAGCAAACCAGGCCCTAAAGAATAAAGGACTGCTCTGGGAGCAAGCAAAGCAACAGACAGACAGGGCTTTGGAAGCAGAGAGCAGGGATCTTGAAAAAAGATGGCAAGGTCAAGAAAATTCAATGTGTGGGGATTTGTCTGGCCAAGTGGGCTCAGGAGGGAGAGTTTCTTATAAGTGTATTTTTTTTTCATGCCACAAGAGGGATCATAAAACAGCCCATTGTGTTTATGGCAAATTTAGAAAATATAAAGCAGACTGCAACTGATGCTGCTATTCATGGGAAAGTTTTTTGTCCTAATAAAACCAAGAATGACCCATGCAGCCCATTCCTCTATCCCCCAGCACTGTTCCATTCCTCTACCCCCTAGCACTGCTCCCAGACTGGGAAACACTGCATTTGGTGCTTTGTAGGTAAGCAGGAACTGCCCCACTGTGATCCTGATGACTCGCTGGAGTTTCCTCAGGAATGTTTTGATGTGTCCAGGCCTCAGAATCCTCAAAAAAATTAAAACAAGCCCACTGAAACACACAGTGGCTCTGCTGGGGTTAACAGAACTCAAACAGACCCAAATCCAGCTCCCAGCAGATGTTTGTGCCAACAGAAATTGTGGCTGCCACAGGCATAATGCAGCTTCAGTGGATTTTTTCCAAGCACATCCCTGCTCTGCTCTGGCTGAGCTCAGGGAAGGGCAGAGACCTCCCAGCCCTCTCCTCTGCAGCTCCCGAGCATAGAGCAGACCCAGACTCCTTTTAGCTCCCCCAAAGGCAGGGTGTTTGTGGGATGGGTGATTTGGTGAGAGCAGGCCAGCCTTACCAACAGCTGCCACGTTCTTCCTGAGGACGGTGCCGGGGTTCAGCAGGGGAAAGGCGTCGGGCAGCAGCTCCTGGTCCCACGTGGCCGTGGTGCCTGTGATGGGCAGGTTGTTCTCCAGGGCTGGGCTCCTCTCTGCAGCCTCCAGCAGCAGGATCTGCACAGGGCAACCAACACACACAGCTCAGCTGGCTCCCACAGCAAGGGGATCACAAGCCCAGGGTTGTGTTAGGTTGGAAATGGAGGTGTGTATTCTATTGCCATCTGTCAGAGCTGGGGCAGTCTCAGGATTTTTGCTGGTTAGAGTGACTTTGAGATATGTTAGAAAGTCTTTTTTCTCAGCCTGGTGGTTGAAGAAAGAGTCAGAGTTTTTAATTTCTCGGTCCCGAGGTTGTTTATTGTATCTTACCTATAACATTTTTTCTCTTGTCCAGCCGAGGTCCGCTCAGCAAGACAATCCGAGGCACTCTTCCTGCCCCCAGTTATCTTTTTATACTAAAAACTGTATGTACAATATTTACAATTACTTTCCAATACCTATCACCTATGTTAGACAGTGAGCTTCTACTTGAAACCAATCTAAAAGTGCCAACATCACAGCAGAAGATGGAGGCCAAGAAGAAGAAGGAGAAAGGCTGGACATGCCCAGATCCCTCCATCTTGGCCCCTGAATCTCCATTCTAAAAACCCTAAAAATCTATTTTTCACCCTGTGATAAATTCACTATCATTCTACTTAAACTTGTGGCTTGCAGATCTTCATACAAGGTTGGTAACTTTTTCCATGGGTCATAATCAAACCCACAGGGGCATCCTGGGCTCTGTGCCAGAGTCTCTGAGCCCCTGGCAGGGATCTTGGCAGTCCAGGACAACCAGAGGGATGTTCTGAATTCCGACAGGGCAGTTATCTTGTGTTCATTGGGCAGTTTTCTTTCTCTCTGCCACAGCCAACCCTTCTCCAGGAGATCTCTGCTGTCCATGGCCACTGAGTGTCCCTGCAGGGCTGATCCAATCCCAGCATCCCATGGGGAGATGCTCCGCTCAGGGGAGGAGCCAAGCATTCCTCCCTGGATCCAATCTGAGCCTGGCACAGCACAGCAGCCTTTGCCCCCTGCATTGCCAGAGGAGCAGCTTTCTGCTGCCCTGCATGGCCAGAGGGAGCCCAGGCCCATCTGCAGCAGCCCTGGAGCTGCAGAGGAAAACTCCCCCCTTGTGCAGGATCCCTGCTGCAGCAGAGCCACAGCTGGCACTGCAGGAGGGCTGAGCCCCCCTGGGATGGGGCTGGGACACCTCCCTGACACACAGGGGGCAGGGACTGCTCTCACTCTGGCTGTGGTTTGGGGTTTTTTGTACTATTGCATTTCTATTTTTAATTTTCCTAGTAAAGAACTGTTACTCCTATTCCCATATCTTTGTCTGAGAGCCCCTTAATTTCAAAAATTATAATAATTCAGAGGGAAGGGGGTTTACATTTTCCATTTCAAGGCAGGCTCCTGCCTTCCTTAGCAGACACCTGTCTTTTCAAACCAGGCCATGGGTTCAGCCCCACATGGGCCCTTCCCTTTAGAGTTGGACTGAGTGGTCTTTGTGGGTCACTTCCAACTCAGAATATTCCATGATCTCTGACCTGGATGGTTTCAGACATGGTGTCAGTTCCTGAGGATATCCTAAGCTCCTCTTCTTGCCAGACAGGGCTGGGAATAACTCTGCTTATAGGCCACGGGATTTTGGCATAAAAGCTTTATTGGTTTTAGGAAATCAGCGTCAATTAGGAAGCTGCTGTGTTAATTGTGAGTGTGTCCCACACACACCCCCCTTGGAGAGGACTTCACTGCCTCCAGAGGGACCTGGCCTCATGAGGGACTGTGTCCCTGGTGAGAAACATGAGAGCAGGGACTGAAGCTGCTGTCAGGGACACAGCATTTCCCTGGTGTTCAAACCAGAGCCAGAAAATCAGGAATTACTGACAGCTGGGATGAGGTGAAGGGCTGTACCTGAAAGCCTAGGGTAGCAAACAGAGGACAAGTACTGCTTGTAAAGGCACAAATATCGACTGAATTAAAGATGATGGAGAAGATGAAGCTTTTAGAGAGTTGAAGTACTTGAACTTTGAAGCAATTAAAAAAAAAAAAAAGAAAGAAAGCAGTCTATTTACTCAAGGAACTCTGCTTAGAAGCAATAGGATATTATTAAAACTCACACCTCTCTAGGCCTCGCAAACACATAACCTGCAAACAAACCCACATCCCAACAGGCATCCCTGAGGTGTTTGGGCCATTACAACCTTCTCTCCCTGGCAAAATGATCCCACATTCCCCATATGGTCTAGGCTGTCCATCAGGATCTGCTCCCTGCCCTCTGGTAGCCTCTATGAAACTGGGAGTTGGTCTCTAACATGGGAACATTTTTCCAGGCATGCAGCACTGAAGTTTGTTACAGCATCATCTTTTCCTGTTTGAAAACCACCTAAGCAATACTAATTTAGGGATAAGGGAAATAAAAGGGAAACTCAAACTTTCCATTAAATCCCTAGAAGTTTCAACCTTTACACACTGTGTTGTCTTTACATAATGAAGTCACATTGCAATTATAAATGAGAGTGACTTGGCTCCACTTGTTTGTTTTTAACTTGCAATTATTACAAGGTTTATCACTTCTTTATTGCAAGGCCTGGTGAGAGCCAGCACTGCAGCAGCGCCAGGAATGATGAACTTCCTGCAGAATGTACTGGCCTGATGGGGGTGAATCAGAAACTAATTAAACTGGGAGCTGGGTTAAGTGCAAGGGAACGGAACGTCACTCTTGCAAACAAGCAAAATTCTTCCTTTATTGCAAGGATCTTTATTTACAGATCCAGAGTCCTGCTTTCTGAGTACAGCAAATGGAGTAAGGTCACAATGCTTTTCTTCACCAGATTTGACTGATGCCAGGCAGGAAGGAATCAGTTCCATCTGCCTCTTGCACTCTGTGCTCCTACCCAGTGATTTATTCCTCAGACTTTCCAGGAAACGTGTTATCAGTTCAACAAACACTTGAGCATGTGCCTTACCATAACTGTGCTTCACTTCCACTGCCATGGGACACAAGTGTGAGCTGAAGACCTTTTCTGCATCACTTTATATTATTTATTATATCATCCTTTCACTTCCCCAGCAAACATCTGGATGTTGCCAAGATGAGCTCGGGTAGAGAGGCAGAATAAACCCTGGAGGTGGCAAATCAGAGGGGCTGCAGCCAGGGCAGGGCTGGGATGCTCCTGCTGAGAGGAAGGGGCACCCAGGGGCTGTCTTGGCCAGTGTTCTGCAGAGCTGTGGGAACAGGGATGTTCAATCCCTGCAGCCATGGTCAGGGCCCAGCAAAGCACAGGGGCCCGTGGCTCTGCCCAAGGTCGCATCTGGAGTGGAACGGCTCCAAATCATTTTTATGGGTGATAATAAAAATGTGTTACCACATAATCAACACAAAACAGTGGCAATGGTATCCTTTTCATTAAAACAACATGTTTGAAATGAGCACTCTGCTGATAAATGCTGTAAAAGCTGTAAAGCCATGCACAGGATAATCCAGCATGCACTGTTATAAATTGACTATATATACTTTGCAGTCATTAAGGCTCAAACCATAGGAACAAGTTTATTTTCCCTGGGCACGAAATGATACAGGTCAGGAAGTCTCCAGACTTGAAATTGCTCAGAAATTCTAGTTTTTATGATTAGGACTGAAAAATGCCCAAAAGAAATAAAGCAGAAAGAGGAGAGCTCTCACATCCGTGAGATCTGCAGAGCCAAGCTAAAGAAGGAGAAGCACAAGGGATTTAGTCACATTCAAAAATCTCAAACTACACACAGCTCTTTCAACAAGGAGTGTCCTCTCACAGCTCACACAGCACAGAGCACAAATGGGCTCCTTACACATTATTGCAATAGCACTGGAGCCATTCATCCACTTTCTGTCACGTTCTGTTTTTCTTTAGGCTGCCATTGCTGTAGTCAGGGGACTCAAGGAGAATTCCCACTTTCATTAAACAAAAAAAAAGAAAGTTTTGAGCCCTCTGAGTAAACTGCTGGAAAATGATACCACAGAGGCTCACAGCCAGAAAGAAAATTAGCAAAATGTGCAGTGTATTAAAGTCTCAGTACTAAAATCTTGGTATTTTCTAGTCAATAGGGTTGAGGTAGAGAGAGGGATAACATCAAGGGAGGAATGTGTGGTTTTCACAGGGAATCCTCATGGCAAGCAGTGCCCACCTGTGCTGCTGCTACAACCTCCAACACAATGGTTCTGCCTCCATGAAGAATGGAGGCAGAAAAGATCCTCATGCCACCAGATAAATGAAGGGAGGGAATGGTGGATGATGTCACTCACCAGCCAGCCAGGGAAGGAGAGAGAAGGACAATGATTGCTGCCTGTGGTGCCAGGACAGCAGATCCCTGCAGGACATAAAAAACCCTTTCTTCCCTACCTTGCAATCTGCACTCTGAGTTGAAGGACAGCCTCAACTCAGCAAAACACTCAAACTTTTGTCTTTCTGCATTTATGGAGGGAAAAGCTCAAATCAGCCTAAATGGCCATGCTGAACTGGAGCCTCTGGCAAGTGAGGGTTTGTCTCTGGCTCAGACCCCAGGTCAGACCCAGCTGAGCTGGGTCAGGAGGCTGGAAGGGACTGAGATGGAGCCACCTCTGCTGCCAACAGTGCACAGGAGCTGTGCTGGCCGCAGGAGCCGCTCAGAACATGGGGACCATCATGGGGACCATTTCTTGTGCATCAACTGTACTTGATGACAGATTTTCTGTAAGTGTGTGGGTTAATAGGTAGAGGACTAGGCTGCAGATTGCCAGTGCAACCATTAGGGCGTGGTCATGGAATTCTGTCAGTTCTTCTATGGTAGGTGAGGAATTGTCTTGGAAGTTGTGGGTGGTTGGCCATGTTTAGGTAGAGATGTGCTGGGCTTTCACCTGCAATTGAGTCTTGACAAGGCTGTGTGATTGTTTTACTAACATCTCTTTATGAGGAAGAAGCATAAGTGAGCGAGGCTCAGGCCCAGCTCCAGAGGCTGTGGGGTCACCCTGGGGCTCCCAGACCCACCAGGCTCCAGGGCAGGCTCTGGCTCCTGCTCCTCTCCCAAAGCCTGGCCGTGGATCCCGCTCTGCTGCCGGC